TGGCCGCCGGGCAGATCTTCTGCGCGGCGGCTATCTTTAAAGCTGGAAGTGTACCGGCGGGCCAGATCTAATGATGATTAAATGTTGCGGGCCAAAGATAATTTCATTGCGGGCCAGGCCTTGAGTTTGACACCTATGCTCTAGGGGGAGTACAATTGGGGGAGTTGGTGATTGAGAAAGATCTGGGTGTTCTAGTACACCATAGATTCAATAATAGCATTTCAGTTTCTAAAGCAAGCAAAATACTTTCTTGTATTAAATATTCTATTGTCTAAGAGATGTCTTAGATTAGTATCACCAAATATGGTACTAGATCAGAACATGACAACAGATAAATATCTTGAAAACTTGTCCATACGTGATATGATTATATATGATCAAGTGTATGTTAAATTCAGAATGAAGACTGTTATGGCCTGCGCATGGTGTGACCCCTCCAGGAAAAAGATGGCAATTGGTGGTTGATTTTTTATATGGCCATATACTGTATATCATTTACCAAGACACATTAATGTGACAAATTTATTTTGGTTTTCTGTGCCGTTTTCTTTTTTGTCCCTCCTTGAATATATAGTAGCACCCGAGCCGGGGAAGACCATTGTCAGGAAGCCAGGCTTGGTCCTTAGGTTTGGAATTCTGCACGGGCACCTGCGCGCGTGCATAGTTTTGCTCACAAAATTGTGCACCGCCAGGCGTGTGCACATTGGCGTGCTCGCTGACGTGCGCATGCGCCTGTTGCGGATTTTCGCGCTAAACGGGCTATTTAAGACTGTGACATTCCAACCTCCAGTGCTGACTGGTCTTCAGCTGTTTCCTGTTCCTGTAACCTGAACCCTGTATCCTGACTATGATCTCCTGGTGTTTGACCCGGCTTGGCTATCTGTTCTGCTGCTCTTCTGGATCCGCCCGACCTCGGCTTGTTTTCTGACTACGCTCCTGTCTGCTGCTCTGTACCTTTCTGCCCGCAAGTTGCTGATCCTGCCTGTCCCTGACTACTCCTTGTCTACTGTCCTGGTACCTCGCCCACTTCAGTTGCTATAGGCGGAAGACTGCAGCATCATTATTGGCCGATGTATACTACAGGAGAGCAGGTCCTGGGGAGAATGCACAAGTGGGCAGCTGGAGGCTTCATCTTAGGAGATGCTGGAAATATGGCTGCGCCCTCCCCCCCCCCCACCTGGAGAGAAAGAGGGCACTGTAAGTTCTTGTTCTTTCTGCATCACATCTGCTGACCTCTGCACTGTGCTTCACACCGCTGACTTCTGTACCGTGTTATACCTCTGCGTTACACCATTGACCTCTGTAGCTCAGAAATGACATTTTTAAAATTGATTCAGCTGCGTTAGGTCCTGCGCAGCAGCCTTCTGTGGAACCACCCAACATCTGTTTACAGCTGGGGGGGTTGGGGGACCAATGAGAT